AAAACGGCACCGGACCGGACCGGACCGCAGCTCGCAAGCCCACAGCGGGAACCCAGAGCTTCGCCGAACACCAGGCCCCTCGGAGGGGGGACATGCGTTTCTCCGGACGCGGCCACAGGAAGCCCCCAGCAAACGCACACACGCCAGCCCCCCCCCCGAGCCTGGGCCGGCCCGCCACATCTTCTCTGCCGGACCCAAACGTTCAGGGAACCCAAGAGCTGGAACACCACCTCCAGGGGGCAGGTCAGCGCTGCAGACTTGTGGCCTCAGAGGAAGAGTTTTAGCATTTACCCACACATTCACATGTACAAAATAGGAACCATTTCTTCTTGCTAATATTTTTTGTTCTGCCTAGTGACAGGAGGCAAGGATCAACGGCAGGCACATGGTTCGATCTGTTGATGCCCACGCTAGAACCACAGACGGTTTAGCTAAACATCACACCTTCTATCGGTATACTTCCTTCAGACCAAATAAAAAGGGGAAATGTCATTTCTTAAACAAAATAAAGGGTACAAGCCAGCCGCCACATCACCCTGCAACTCAGCACTGGCAGCCCCACTGGAGCTCAGCAGTGTGAGCCTGGTCAGTACTCCTGGGAAAGCTGAGGCTGCTGCTGGAAGAGGTGTGAGTGGGCCCAGCAGGGGGCGCTCACCCTGTGGTCTGTGTGGGTCCTGATGCCCCAGTATAGTGACGGGGGACACTAGACTGTAAACAGGCACCGTCCTTCGGATGAGACGTCAAACCAAGGTCCTGACTCTCTGTGCTCATTAAAAATCCCACGGTGTTTCTCGGAAAGAGTAGGGGTGTAACCCTGGTGTCCTGGCCAAATTTCCCATGCCTCCTAATAATCCCCCTCTATGAATTGGCTACATTACTTTGTTCTATAAAGGACCACGCCGAACCCGAGTCCAGACTTCTCTTTGACACGTCTTAACCTATCAGCCCATCACATCCTGGGAAAGGCCTCGTCTGCTACTACTTTACAGTCCTCAGGAGGGACGATACACACTGTACCGGGACTTTCCCCACACTTTGGACAGAACGGCTTTATCCCACAGAGCCTGGCCGTCCCCTAACAATCCGGGTGGCCAGTCCATAATGAAGCTCGCTGCTCTATTTCATACCGTAGTTTTCCAGCACATTACTCCAGAGTCGACAGGATACTGCCAACATCAGAGTAATCAGAACAGCGCCGGAGTTCGCCTTCGTAAACCGCGATATACATGGTGTCGTCCAGCAATCTCGCACAAATCACCCAATAACTTACCCGGACCCACCCAAAATACATATATATATTGTAACGCAACGGGGGCTCAGGCGGGCGCCCTTGCCGCATCTGGTCGGCCCCATCCCGACTGGAGGCTCGAACCCGGGCCTTCCGCGTCTCTCTGCAGCGACCTAGCCCCGTGAGCTAAAGAGAGATCTCTCCACAGCTCAGTAGCTGTGGTCCTGCTATCACAGGGAAGGGCGGTGACGTCACCCGCTCTGGTACGCCGGCTCTTACACACAGTGCTTGTCGGCCGTAAGCGTTACAATATATTTGACTGGCATCTATGCGGGGGCCGACTCCTCTCTGAATAATCTCGGGAGTATCAGGACCCCCCACAAACCACTAATTGATATAACGCTGCGTTGCGTTAATTACCGGCGGTCCATGCAATTTATAAACCCCGGCGTGTGTGCAGCGTGCATTGTTATACGGGACACGTCGCCCGCTGGGCCAGGAAATGACAGGTCAATTTTATTGTCTTTCATCGTCACCTCGTCGATAAATAAATGACGCGTTTCCTATTGGTTTTGGTCCCAAAGGCACGTTTGCCCAAAATTCCCATTCTAAGCGAGTCCTTGCGCGCTTTATAGAGCTGTCCATGTAAATAATGTACAGAACCAAGGAAATGAAGGCTTGTACTGGGACCATCGTACCTTGCACATCACCGAACACCTCATAGTCCACGGAAACCAGCCCCGACGCAGAACTCATGGTCGTTTTTTACCCTTAAACCACCTATTATATTTACTGCAGTGTCATGCCGGCGCTGACCGAAGGAGGCAGCTGCACTGGACCCGTGTCAGCGACTTTGATTGACAGAAAACCAGACGGCTCAGCAACTGTCAAGCTGCCACAGCACAGACAGTTCTTGAGCCAAAATGGCAGCTGCCGCTCTCACCGCCCCCTCCTCCTCCCACCCGCCAATCACGGCCCGGGAGCCGCCGTGATGTCACTCCTAAAGGACCAATCACACTGCAGAGTAATATTTGAGTCCGCCAATGAAAGGACAGAGTGGTGTGCAGGTGCCGCGCGTGCAGAGTGTAAACACGGCGCAGGTCGGGGAATTATCGCGTTTGACCCGCGATAAGTGGATCTTTCCCCCCAAACAGAACTGCGTTCAATAAAGTCATTAGAGTTCAGTATTTGAAAAATAGCAGAGTGGAAAAGCGACTTTTAAAACCACAGTTTCATTTATTTTAACGTATTACTCGCCAAAGAACTTGAACTTGAACTTGAACTTGAACTTTATTGCCATATGTAACCGGTACTGGTACAATGGAATTCTTACTGACAGAAAGTCTCTCGATTGTAAAACAAGTGTAAAAAACAAAACAAAGTGCAGACAGTGCATCAAGACAGTGTACAAACAAACAAACAAACAATAGACAATGTGCAAGTAAACATGCAGGCAGTTTGAATGTAAACAATACAGACGTGTAAACAATGACTGGAGACGTACAATTAATAAATTACAATGAGGTAGATGGTGATGGTGTAGGTGTGGTCCGAGGGGGATGGCTAAATGTGTTCGCCAGTCTCACTGCTTGTGGATAGAAGCTATTGAAGAATCTAGTGGTCAGTGTCCGGATGCTCTTATATCTCTTGCCTGAGGGCAGTGGGGTGAAGAGCTCATGCCCGGGGTGGTGACTGTCCTCTGTGATGGCCAGAATTCTACCACGGCAGCGGTCCTCATAGAGCTGTTTAATCTCGGTGAGACCGCAGCCGATGATCTTCTGGGCCATATTGACCATTCTCTGCAGTGCCTTTCTTTATCGCGAAGAGGTGTTGCCATACCACACGGTGATCCCGTTGGTGAGGACGCTCTCGATAGTGCAGCGGTAGAAGTTCACCAACACGTGTTGGCATCCCCCATCGCTTGAGGCACCTCAAGAAATAAAGGCGCTGCTGAGCCTTCTTCATGATAGAGTATAGAGCGCCATTAGGTCCGTTTCATATATGTCCATGCGAAAGCAATATTTTATTCGACGTTTGAGTGGAGTTACACACAGAGTGTAGTAGATTACCTGCACAGGCACACCGCAGTGAGGAGCTCCAACAGGTGGTCATCTCCTCCACGGACAGAGGTGACCACACAGATGAGCCTAGAAGCCGAATAACTCATTCCCAGCGCCTCGGAGGGCGAATTTACACTGTACGTGTTACCGGCTGGAAAGTGTACAGGACAAAGGGATATCAACATTCAGGAACTTTCAGAAAGTCAGTTTGGAAAGAGCCCAGAGGAACACCAGGACCGCCCCAGGGAACGTTTCTGGGACAAACAGCCCTTAACTGAGTTTTCAAATCCTCTGCTTAATCTTAATCGTTTACAACCAGTTTTTGTGCAATATACGCCAGGGACCTGTGCAACACATTTATATTTATATCTATATTTACATCTATATTTATATTCATATGTGTGATACGATTTTCTGTGTACTGTTCTGTTCTAGTTTGTTCTTGTGTGTCCGGACTGTGAGTAACTCTTGTATTGTATTGTACTATTACTATATAATTTGTTACACTGTGGCTGTGTTGTGTTGTGTTAAGCTGCTGTTGCACTGCAATTTCCCTCATGGGATCAATAAAGTATCTATCTTAATCTGTCCTGATCCCCTTCAATAAGAGGTGACGCCCCCTTATGCAGAAGCAGCCTCACTGAAAGGATTTCTCCCATTTCTCCATCGTAAGACCTTCCCCTCCAGGGCCTGAGAGCTTCCATCCCAGAGTCCTCCTCCGCTCCGGGCCTGGCGATGTGTTCAGGCCCAGACTCGTGCCCCACCTCATCCCCGGTTTTTCACCCCGAGCAGCATCATCGGCTCCCTGCTGCGGCCGGACCGCTGGGCTGGCCAGCAGGGCACAGGGCACAGTGGGCGTGAAGGACTCATTCCTTCAAATCTCTGCGAACCTGATTCACAGGAGAGGGGGGGTGCGGAGGACGGGACTCTCGGGGTGGGGTGGAGCGGTGTGAGAGGCCAGGTGTGCGCGGGCGGGTGAAAGGAACTCGGTCTCTTTAGTCTTGAACTGGCAGGGAGCGGGGATTTCGAGGTGGGGGGGGGGGTGTCGCAGGCAGGTGGAGCTGCAGACGCCAGCAGGCTGGTGGCGCAGCGGGAAGGATCTGGGAGGAACCCCCCCGATTTCCCGGCACGCAGAGCCTGGCCGGTCAGCACAGCCGGGGCCAGATGACACTCCAGGACTGGCCGGCTGGCAGCCTCGGCTCATGAATATGCATGAGCAAGGCCGAGGGGCGGAACGCGGAAGGGGGCTACCGGTCCAGGTGTTTGTGTTCAAGGCGGATCTCCGTCTTAACTGTTGCAAGAGCGAAGCTGCCTCAGGGCGCAGGGTGGCCCTACTCCCCTGAATAAAGAAACACAGACCCACTGAGTGGACAAACTGCCCTGAATAAAGACACACAGACCCACTGAGTGGACAAACTGCCCCGAATAAAGACACACAGACCCACTGAGTGGACAAACTGCCCCGAATAAAGACACACAGACCCACTGAGTGGACAAACTGCCCTGAATAAAGACACACAGACACACTGAGTGGACAAACTGCCCTAAATAAAGACATGAATGTAGCTCCTATTGGAACAGGACTGTTCTACTGTACTGGGACTGTAGCTCCTATTGTAACATGATTATTCTACCATAAAATATTCTACTAGGATTTCGTGGATTGTTCATGTGTTTTCTTGGAAAATGACACACACAAAAAGCACCCGATGGAAAAATGCTGCAATACAACGAAATACCACCAGAGGTCACTGATGATTCATAGGACCTACCAGCTCCTGTTAGCCGGATTCTTTAGCTCTGCAGACCTGAGGTCACCACCCCTGAACTCCACTGCACAGGGGAACTTCCTCCTACCTGCGTGGTGACCTTTCCACTGAAGGAGTCAGTCTGT